GAGAACTCTGAGAACGAGGGACGTTCCCCGGGGGCTCAGCCCACCGGCCTTCTGAAGCCCTCGGGACAAAACAAACTCTCCAAACCCACCTGAGCCCCGCACGGGTATCCTTGCTGGCATCACGAAGGCTTGGCGTCTGTAGCTCAAGGCCGTGGCATTTGGGGCCAGCCGGCTGCGCGTCCTGGCTCTTGCCGGCTCACCTGCAGTGCCCGGCAGACAGCGGTGCGTCCCTCCCGATGGGGCAAGCGCCGCACTTCCTTCTGTTGGCCCGCCCCCTTTTCTTAGAGAGACACAGAGGGCTCGATTATATCGGTGACACAGGTACCTCAGCTTCCGTCGTCACAGATGGAGTTTGCAAACTGTTTCTGAGTGGACCGAGCACCTAAGAATTGAGGGGTAGAAAGTGTGGATCAGAATTGGGGCTGGTGGCTCTCCACGCTGGGCGACGCGGCGTGCGGCACACGCTGGCCCGGGTCGGCAGACACTGCGGTCGCTCCGGCGGGAGGTCAGAGGGGGCGGCCTCTGGCATTGGAGGGGCGGAGACCGGGAGGCGCCCGATCCCCCGCACTGCCCAGGACACCCCGCAGCAGAGAGTCCGCCAAGCCCCGGCGTCACGGTGTGAGGCTGAGAAGCCTGCCGACCATGAGATTTTTCATCCCTTCTCTCTCTCTGTCTCTCCCACATACATACTTATTTTTAGCTTTATGTTACCTGCCCATTTATTATGGATCTTCTATCCATTCATCTATTTAATCTATCAATAATCTACTTGTATTATCTGTCGATCTATTTATCTATCTATCCACCCATCCCTCCCTCTAGTCATCCATCTATCCATGCGTCCATGTGTCCGTCCGCCCATCCATCCATCTGTCACTGTGCTTCTCAAAAAAGGGCAATTCTGTCCACCAGGAACACTTGGCAACCTCTGGAAACATTGCTGGTTATCACTTGGCAGGTGCTCCTGGCACGTCGTGGGTAGAGGCCAAAGACGCATCAGCGCCGCGCACCCCAACCCCAGAGACCCCCCGAGTCCCAGACGTCCCCTGGGCTGAGCCTGAAACACCCTGAGGGCCAGGGTCACCGTAGCGTGGCTCCCATGGTGTTACCCCGTCCCAGCCTCCTGGGTGCCGTTGAAGGCCGGGGGCTCGCGGGGCTGCCGCGCACTGTGAGCACGGGAAGACCCGCCTGTGGTCTTCTCGGTGGCAACTCCCGGACGTGCCACCCAGAGCCTCCTGCTGATGGGCGCGCAGGGCGTGAGCCAGGAATGGCGGGCATTTCCCCTCCACAGCATCGTGGGGTGCAGGGGGCGGGGGGCGGCTTCCTGAGCTCCCTGAGCTTCCTGAGCTTCCTGAGCGGCTCTGCTCTTCGGCCGTTGTTTCCTTTACATCTTCCCCGGCCAGGAGGAGAGCTTGGTAAATAATGTGCAGAAAGAGAAACGGCGCTCCTAAAATACCTGCTCTGTTTTTATCTTTCAAGTCAGGACCGTGCGAAATGGAATGTTGCTGGAGTCAACAAAATGTTCGGCGAGTGGCTCGTGCGTGTGTGTGTGTTTTCTTAAGGCCTCTAAACAAGGAGACTCAGAGGGCTCACCCCTGCCCCTCAGTGCTGAGCTGAATGGGTTCAGTTTATTCCACTGATCGTCGAATAAACAGTCCCAAGTTTTCAAAAACAGCGTCCTCACATTACGCAAAGCACGTCTTCCTTTTCGGGTACACTTTGATTATTGCCATAGAACGTACATACCGTAAGCTTTAGCCTTTTAATGCGCCCAGTTCTGTGGTTTTAACTTGACTCAGAGAGTTAGCACACATTGAAACACCGTTTTAAAGGCTTTCCCCCCCCCATAAAGCAGAAGTTTCAGTTTCCTCGGTAGGCGTGCCAACAATGTCAAAAATCAGCTGGTTAAAGGAGAACCGCCTGCTTTGGACCTTTGTGATTCTGTACGTTGGTGCTTTTACAACCTTCCGTGGTGTTACTGTGAGGGAGGAAAGGCCACAGGAAGGGATGAGCGTGACAATGTTGCAGCCATGGATGCTGACACAGTCCGGATTCTGCAAAAATGCTGTAATCTGCTGATGGCACTGAATGTGTCAAGGGCGCCTGCATTTTACTGTTATACAGAGGAGACATCGCTGTAGTTTACACATGAAAGAATGCAGGCTGTTGCACAGGGGAATGTATCTTGTTTTTTGGCCCCCCTCTGGTCTCCACCCCGCCCCCCGCCAACATGTCCAGGTAACATTCATCACCTCAGGTAGGGACACGTTTGTTCCCGGAATGAGAAAACTCGCCGTGCCGTTTGCAACGATAGTCACGCCTGGTGCCTTCCAGCCTCGAAACATAAGGCCTCTTCCAGGCGGGGTCTCGGCGTCTCTTGAGCTTCTGCACCCATTTCTCATCGCCTGCCCGAGCCCCCGCCTCCCCCAACCGCCGCTCCCGAGTGTGTACCTGTGAGTTCATGTTTTTTCAGGTTACACACGACATTGCACGGCATCTGCCTTCCTCTGAGTTACTCCCTGCGCCGGAAGACCCTCTAGATGCATCTGTGTGGCCACCGGTGGGCAGAGCTGCCCTCTTTTTTGTGGCTGAGTCGTTTCCAGGGTGTGTCTTGGGCGGGCGTAACCGTACGGTCCTGCTTACCTGCAGCTGCGCGAGGAAACCGGCTTTTTCTGCTTTCTCCGGGGAGATGCCCGCACCCGGGACAGACTCAGCACCAAGCAGGACACGGTCTAGTCCCTTCTTTTATTTCCATGGCAGTTATGACGTGAAACTAACACCATTGGCTCTCCTTGTCTTTCACCACTTGTAAAGGAATCACCTTAAAAAGGAAAGCACGCTGGGTTTGTCCACCTGGGTCCCGGTTGCGTACCTGTCATCTGCTTGTGGCTCCGTGGGGCCTTCTCACGTCCCCCAGGGTGACTCGGGCCTGGGGTTCCGTCCCCTAACGTGAGTCTTTTCTGTTTCGCACGCACAGCTCAGAGAAAGCCTCGGAGACATTGCAGAGGAAAATACGAAAAGATCTGTTGAGTCACAGCTATGGTTCACATGGGCAGAGGCAAATACGAGGGGAAGCTCGGTCAGATACGAGTGTGCCAAAGACAGAGCATTGATCGGTAAATCCCATCCAAAAAATGAGTGGATTCCTTGACATAGGCCACCAACGAGATGAGAAAGAACAGAGGGACCCGGGACAGAGATAAAAATCAAGACACACCACCTTCCTTTTGTTCCTAGAAACTTAGAATAGGGCACGATGTTGAGACCGTTCATCGTGATTTTCCAGTGCTTTTCGAGGGATGAACCGTAGGAGTCCGAAAAGAGTTCATTTGTTCCCCTAAGGTCGGAGATGAAATTGAAGCGAAAACAAGGTCAGCCACGCGGTGGCATTTCAGTGCACGTTGCTTCATAGAAACATCAACTCAACATCTGCGTAAAAACACTTCCACTGGATCCCTTCACTCCTTCCAGGGCGCTTTGTCTACCTCCCCTCCCTCCTGACCATATTGCACATTGTGCTCTCAACCCGATGCCACCTCGCTCGAGGACAGTTCTGCATTCGCTTCCAAATTATCTTTGCATGAGAATATACTTCTACAGTGAATTGCTCATCCGTCGCTGCTCCTTCTACAGTGTTGCTTCCCTTGCATAGATCACTTTCTACTTCTGCTGTAATCAAATATTCATGATGGAAATTTTGTCTGAAAGCCAAGGTTCCTTAAGTTCCCAACGCTGACTCCATTACCCCGTAGATTTATTTTCTTGCTTGCAGACTTCAGTTTATAGAAAACACTGGAAAAGCAGCTTGCCAGAGCATTACTTGGTTCTTTGGTTGGTACCATGTGCACCTCAGAACTCTATTCCCGAAAAGAAAGGAAACACATTGTTTCATTGTTGGGCGGTCGCGTGGGACGGCTTCTTTCTTTCCAAGCCATCCTCGAATGTCTCCATTCTCCTCTTGCATCCGCTCGGTGGCCGTTTGTCCAGCCAGGGACCTCCGCCAGCCACCTGGGTTCCACCTCCCTGTGCTTGGGGAGAGGGCGCATTTCTTTGCATTATCCCTCCGACAGACTCGGGCGTAACAGACAGCCCCCGTTTATAAGCGTCCTGGTGCCAAGCTGACAGACAGATTTCCGTTTCTCTTCCCCAACTTTATGTGTTCTGTGGCCTTAGGTGACATTCCTTTGCATCGTTAAAGGCACTATTGCACAGGTGATTGCCAGGCTGTGTGAGGGTACAAGGGGGGCACCGTGCGGCTCACTGAGAAGGATCCCGAGCGGGACAGGGCAGGGCAGAAGGCCGGGGCGGAGAGCGAAGTTGGCTTGAAACTGTGCCATGTGAGTATGAAAGAGAGTTCGGTGGCCTTCCGTATTTGTGGTGGGTGCGATTTTTAACGTTCCTGTCTGTCTGTTCGCATCTCTATCCCTTTATTTCCGACGCATGGACAATTTTAAGATAAAGACCCAAGCGTGCTTAGCGAGCTGTCGTGCGTTTGAAATGGCTTCACGCAGCTGGTCGCGTATCGTGAAAACCTGGCGCAAAAGGGAAACTTTTGAAGAACTGCGTTGGGGTAGTGCACGCACAGTACGATATCCAGAGGTCGTCCCATAGGATTGTACACCTGAAATCTATGCCGTTTTATGAACCAACGTCTCCCCAATGAATTCCATCCAAGCTAAATTGAAAAATAAAAGACACGTGGAAGACACCCACTTACCGTACTTTTCCATTCTACCTCTTGTGCTCCGTGTGCACGTGTGTGTGTTTCCTGAGGTGGCTCATTTGCAGAAGCGTGTCTCCCGTCCCCGCCCCCCCCCACCCAATTAAAGGGTCCTTCAGGGCCAGGCCACCCTCCGTGTCCATGTGCGTGGGTGGGAAATTCCAGATAAAGGTGTCCGGGCACACGGTCTCGCCTTTGGCGGCTTACGCAGTCAGTACGCGTGGCTCCCCCCGTGACGCACTGCAAGTCCCAACACGGCCCGTTTCTTGTCCCCTTCCAGGCACAGGGACGTTCGGGCGGGTGCAGCTGGTCCGGCAGAAGACGGCCAAGTGCTTTTTCGCGCTGAAGGTCATGAGCATCCCGGACGTGATCCGACTGAAGCAGGAGCAGCATGTGCACAACGAGAAGTCGGTGCTGAAGGAAGTCAGCCACCCATTCCTGGTTAAGCTGTGAGTGCGCCCACGGGCGGTCCTGTCCCCAGTTCCTCGTCTTCTTCCCCACCCTCCCGAGAGGCCACCTCGGGGGTCTCCTCCTCCCTCTTCCTCCGCCCCGGGGTCGGAAGCGGCGGGTGGAGTGAGGTCACGTCGGGTGTGCGCGTGCGCACGTGCAAAGCCACCGGCCCGTGTGGCCATATTGCGGGGCTCTCTTAGCGTCTGATCTTGCAGCGTGGTCCTGCCCGGGCTGCTGGCCCCAGGGGGCCAGGGCCGCAGGCAAAGACGCCTGATCCGAAACCGGTGAGGAGTCCGCGCGCCCAGAGCTGGCTCTCTGGCCCCTCCACGGGCAGCCTCCACCCACTTCCCACCTTCTCCCTCTCCCACCTCCATCTCACGCCTCCTCAGGCCCAGCATCGCAGCTCAGGGTCCCTCCTCCCCGCCTGGATTTGCTGCCCCCGGGCCTCGCCCGTGTCTTGCGCCCTGAACCTTGCTTTCCGCCAAAGCATTCTTGACAGCCGTGGTGCTCGTCCGCCCCGCCTCTCCAGCGCGCTGCGTCTCTCCATAGGAATCTGCAGGAATCCGAGGAGCCCAGAATCAGGCCCCAGTGGCTTAGGGTGCTGCAGAGAGTTCATGGAGTTTTTCCTTCCCTCTGTTTCGCTTCGTACACGGTCACATCCATGGAGCTGCAGTAGGGCGTGGGGACGCGTCCAACGCACCGGCCCGCACGGACGCAGGTGTTCTGCGCCCTGGTCTTCGTGCACGCTACACGCACCCCAACACAGGCAGGGGCACCTCTGCACGCCAAGTCCCCCCAGAAACGCCCTCCAAGCCCAAAACACGGTCTTACCAGAGCCGCCTCAGGAGGCACGGTGAATGGTGGGGGAGGAGGAGCAGGCGGCTTTTCGCTTTATTGTGTTCTCCTGGATCCCAAAGCAGCTCGTACGTCAGAGACTCCAGCCCTGTCTCGTGGAATGGGAGTCTGCCCTCGGCCGGGGGGCTGGGGGGGGACCCCAAAAGAACGGATGCTGCAGGGCTTGCTGTGGAATGAAGAAAAGCTCCTAGTGATGTGTCTTCTGGGAACTAACGTAGAGATTCTGAGAAAGGGCTTTAGCCGACTGGGGTTTTCAGTCAACCTTGTTTGAGGACACGTGGTCGGGATTGTGACGTCGCCTAATTGTCATCGTGTGTCTTACGGGACTGAGCTTGGGCTGTGACCCAACACAGGACAGTCTCCAGCCCCAGGAAGAGGGCGTGGTTTCCCCAAGGTGCCTTCCAGCTGCCTGTCCACAGGACACAGTGCGTCGGACACTGGGGCCCCGCTTTGCCTCTGGAACCTACGAGGCAGGAGCTGTCGCGTGTTGGCGGCGACGTTAGGAGATGTAGACAGCGCAGGTTCCTGTGAAGGCAAGAAGGCTTAGACATGGTGGTGGAGAAGGGACAAGTGTGGAGGAGATGGAGGCCCCTCCAGGACACGGAGCATGTGGTGGGGGCGGGCGTGCATCCAGGTCACCCCCGGGTGCATCTTTCCTGGGGCGCGGGCGCTCCCCGTGGGTGTCGTGAGCTGAGGTTGGAGGGTATCCGTGGAGTCTTGGGGGAAGGCCTCCCACTCAGGGAATTCCACCTGGGTGGGAGTTCAGTGTCGTCTCTCCCAGACGGTTTGTCCAGGGCCCCACCCATTTATCCCTCCCCGTCCTGGAGGCTGGAGGCGGAGCCCCAGGCGGGGGCAGGGCCGGCTCCCCCGCAGGCCCCTCTCCTGGGCGCGGGGACGGCCGTCTGCCCCTGGGCCCTCCCACCGGAGTCCCTCTGGGTGTGCCCGCGTCCCCATCTCTTCGTCTAAGGCCCCCAGTCCTGTGGGATCAGGGCCTCCCTGGGGACCTCAGTGTCCCTTAATCACCTCTTTAAAGGCCCGTCTCTAAATGCAGCCCGTGTCCGAGATCCAGGGGGTACAGCTTCACCCTGTGAAACTGGGGGAAACATCATTCAGCCCGTCACGCTTCCCTAAAGACTTGCGAAGGGTACATTTCTCAGTGCCGGAGGGTCTTATTGTAACGCACGTCGCGCATTCGGGGTTTTTTTTTCCCCTGGGCAGATCCTTGAGGGACTGGAGGTGTTTGAAACGGGGATGCAGGTTGGCCTGGTGTGGCCAGGGCTCCTGCTCCTGTCGAGCGCCCCAGGGCGTGTTGCGTCTGGCCAGCCCGGCCCCATGGATGGGACCTGGACGGCGTCCAAGGCCTCAGGACACGGGACGTGTTTTAGTGGAAAAACACCATTCGTCAAGAATGCCTTTCATCCCCACAGCTGTGCATTTTCTCTTGTAAATGTTGTGTCGCCTCAGCCGACATCTGCTTGCCAGACGGTTTCCGGAAACACTGAGCACGTTTCCCCGCATTTCTTCAAACCACACGCCAAGCCGAGGGTGCCAGCCGGCGGCGGGCCGAGCCAGCGCTGTGGGGCGTTTGGAGTCCCCCTTGAGTGGTCGCGGAAATCACGGGACACATTAGCAAAGATCAGCATGCGCGCTGCTACTGGTTATGTTTTATGTTTTTGAAAAGATGCCCGGGCACTCGTTCAAGGCGCGTGAAGGGGCACATTCTGTTTGGGGCGGAAGCCATTTCCCAAGGCCAGTTCAGCTGGCGCTGAAATAATTTTAGAAAGGAAGAGGCACTCACTGTCCACGGTGCAGAAGGGGCGTGGCAGAGTCCGAATGGCCAGGGACGAACGCGTGCAGTCTGCCGGCAAACCGAGATCCCTCCTGGCCCTTCCTGCACCTGGAGAGGGCTGGCGTCTTTGAGATGTTTGGACCCGGCTCAAGGCTCTCCGACTCGGCCCTGTTGGCAGCCGGGCACAGATCAATCTCTGTGGTAGGGGCTGTTCTGCCTCGTGGGGGGCATGGACCTGTATCCCTGGTCTCGACCCACTTGATGCCAGCAACGCACCCTCTGCAGCAGGGATGAGGAAAAGTGTCTCTGGTACTGTCAGAAACCTTCCCGACGGTGAGACGGTCCTGGGGTAGAGACCACAGCCACAGATGAGTGGGTGGGTGGATGGGTGGATGGGTGGTTGGGTGGTGGGTGGGTATATGAGGACATGGATGGATGGATTCATTCATTCATTCATGGATGGATGGATGGATATATGGATGGATGGGTGGATGGATTCATGGTGGATAGATGGACGGATGGATGGATTCATTCATTCATGGATGGATGGATGGATATATGGATGGATGGGTGGATGGATTCATGGTGGATGGATGGAGGGATGGATGGATTCATTCATTCATGGATGGATGGATGTATATATGGATGGATGGGTGGATGGATGGATGGATGGATATATGATGGATGGGTGGATGGATTCATGGTGGATGGATGGATGGATATATGGATGGATGGGTGGGTGGATTCATGGTGGATGGATGGATGGATATATGGATGGATGGGTGGATGGATTCATGGTGGATGGATGGATGGATATATGGATGGGTGCATGGATAGAGGGATGGATGGATGGTTGCATGGATGGCTGGGTGCATAATTAATAGAGAGCAGATAGATGATAGATAGATAGATGATACTTCAGTTGATAGAGAGACAGGGACACAGACACATTGAGAGAGACAGAGAGAGTCTCTCACGCTCATCAAGCAGGTGTCTCACGTTGGGCACCATGGACATTTGAAGCTGGGTGACAGCTTGCTGTGGGGCGTCCTGTGCGCTGTTGAGCAGCACCCCCAGCCTCTACCCATGGACACAGTAGCACCTGCTGTCTGAGGTGGGAGAACCAAACATGCCTCCAGGCATTGCCAAGCCGACCCTGACGGCGCAGAGCCAGCTGAGCCCACGCGCTCTGCAGGTGCTCACGGAGAGGAAGGGCGTGCGGGGTCCCATATGCCTTTCCTGACCCAGCCCCCACACCAGGACTTTCGTGATGGGCAGTGCGTGGGCCCACGGACCAAGCCTGAGCCCCGCAACTCATTGCAGACCTATGCGTGTTGCCCGCCATTGATGTTTCATAGCTTTCTCCTGCCGATCACGAAAGAAAGATCTCAAAGTCCGTCACCCACGGGGCGCGTCCTTGAGCTACTGTGGACATGACCTGTGTCCCATCCCCTCCCAGGAATCCACGCCTTAATCTCCAGTGGACTCGCCCGTTGCCCAACGGTCAAGATCCTTGTTCAGGGCCCCCTGCTCGGGCCTGGCCCCTCTCTCCGTGGGCCGACGGAAGTTGTTTCTTCGTTTTGCCGAGAGCTCAGGAACGGGGAAGAACACCATCGGCTCACCGTCCTTGCCTTCTCCCCATCTGAACGTCAAAGGCAAAGTCCTGGCAATAGGCCTTCTCCCCCTTCGATCTTCTTCTGCGCGGAACAGCAGTGAGACAAAGAACAACGGCCCCTCCCGAGGCCCCAGGCCTGGCTTTGGGCCAACAGCGTTGGCCTACGCGTGCGTTTGGTGGGCGAGGCGCCGACGCTTCTAAAGGAAGGTTTAGGTTGTGGTCACAGCGTGAAATGTGAGACAAGTTTAGGCGGGACCGGTGTCCTGGAAAAGGGCGGCTCCCTCCGCCGAATCCTGCCGAAGGAGCTGGGACGGCTTGCAGGAGGGGGGACCGTTGCAGATGGCCGGGGCTGCGGCCGCCGGCCGGTCCCCGGGGTCTGGGCGCAGGCAGGAACCGGAGCCCAGCGGCAAGCCAGCTCTGTCCTTGATAGGGGTGGCATGGCAGCAAAGGAGCTGAGGAACGGGGTGCGGGAGGGCCCCAGCAGTGCGTCCACGGCTGGCGGTATGTCCGCAGGCGCGCGGTGAGCGTGGGCACCCAGGATCCTGGGCTTCCTGTGAGCTGAGGTGTGTAGTGGGTGAGGTGCCCCCCTGAGAAGATGCCTTGTGGAGAGCGGAGGTTTCGATGCTGGACAAGGTGAGGGCTGAGGCCCCGTATGCAGCTCTGGGAGGAGACGGGGAGAGGCCATTGGGTGGGGCCATCGGACGAGGGAACGGAGCCGCCGAGGACGGGGGAGCCTTGGA